TCATCGCAGATCCTTTTAGAAGAAAGTGGTGATGAGTGAATAAATACATCGCGATCCTGCTTAGCTTCACAGCAGGATAGAGCAGAGGTGGCTGGGGAGAGAGCAGGGGCTCTGGGTGCCCCCTCATTCTGCTGCCCTGGGTGGGAGCGAAGGCCTGGTGTGAGGCCCTAAGTGGGTCCTAGGCCCTGGGCCTCTGCAGAGCTGGGCCGCCTCAGTGGCTGCTGTGGTCCTGGGCCTCCAGCGGGGTAGGTGCGTCGAGACTGAGTAGAAGATATCAAATAAGCATGACTTTGGAGGACGCCCTTGACATTTGATGGTCCGCATACGCCAAGGAATCCTTCCCCATTCCACTTCCCCCCACTTCACCTCTGGCTTCTGCCTGAACACCCATGAAGCGTCACTCTCTAAAGTCATCAGGCGTCGTTATTGCTAAGTCCACATCACTCCTTATACCCCTCCGCCGGGGAGATCGTGCCTTTATTCTTGAAATTCACTCCTCTTCTTCAGAATCGGACTCCCCTTCTAGGTCTGGGCCCTAAAATGTCATACAGGTGCCTACATACTAGTATACTAAATTTATTTTGCTAGTTTGGGTATCTCCATTGAACAAGAGGCCTTTATATCCCTCTACCCTAGGATGATGTGTGGCACGACATTTATCTTCCCAGACAATGTTGCCTTTCTACTAGTGTCCTGTATTTCAGTGACAGGACACTGTATGGAGATACACCTTGTTCCTCAAGGAAGTCTGGAAGCTGTTTGTTTCTCTCCCCACTGTTCCCCTCCTTCGATCCACCTTTCAGCCCCTTTAAATCCACATTCGGAAATATCTCCTGGGTGCCTTCACTGCTCTCCATCACCTCTGCTGCTACTCTTTGCTATGGCAAATAATGCCACCGTGCACAGACCTTTATACACGTTATTTCATATATGGGAAGTGTATCAAACATATGGGAACGGATTACCAGAAATGGGATCGCCAGGTAACAGTATAAATGACTGTACTTCTCGTAGGTGTCACCAGCTCCCTCCCTCTCCACAGAGGTTGTAAATGACTTGCTGGAAAGCTATTTTATGATAGATGGCATATCACATCATTGAGGAGATAGATATACACGTAGTATACCACACTGTGTGTATGTGGCATGAGGCCCCAGTACTTAATCTAGGCAGTCATTTGGCAAAAGATAAAGTTGAATCCATAACTCATGCAGAACACCAATAAAATTCTAAACAGCTGACCTTCGGGCAAATAGTGTGCAGATGGTAAACTTGCACTTGCTGCCCCTACAGTCTTGCTAGCTGTTCTAATTTTTAAAAAATATATTTTATTGATTTTTTTTTTACAGAGGGGAAGAAGCATGATGAATTTCTACTTAAATTTGGAGTAGAAATTTATGGCTCAGATTTCAAAAGCCATTTATTAAAATTGAGAAAATCAATAATATTAAAACACACAGACGCAAACACTGTCCATGGCAATAAACTATGCCAAAGTCAAAGGTACTGACAGTGGAAAAAAAATTTTCAGATCACATTTTTAAAGGTTAATCTAATATAAAAAGTGCTCTTCTGAATCAAGAACATGGACATGAACATGGACATGAAAAATTCCCATAAAGTAACAAAAATGGCCTATAGAAATATTTCAATCTCATTCATAATAAGAAAAGATGAATTTAAGGCTATGTTGAGTCATTTCTTATTTGGTAAACATCCAAAAGTTTGACAGCTTGCTGTGTAGGCAAGAAGGTGAAGAAGTTGAAAGTCTCATAGACAGCTGGTGAGTGGAACAAAAATTACCACCTTTATGGGCTGTTACAGGTATATCACATGCAAATTGAAACTGTTTGACTTCTCCCTTTCCAAATTGAATGCATCTAATATCTGTCAGTTCTTCATACACGAATATCACATTATTTTTATTTTTGAGACTATAGGATCTTTTAATATGTGCTGAGGCTAATATCCTTTCTTTGCTTTTCTTTTTCATAATTTTCCTGTCTATTCCTAATTATTGATATTTTCTTATGACCTTTTAAATCATCTTGTCTAGTTCCAGTAAAAATACTGTTGGGATTTTTATTAGGACTATAAAATTTATAACAGTTAAAATTGATACATTTACACTGTTTATTTTCCTTTTCAAAATAAAGATATGTCTTTGTTGCAAGTCCACTTCTGTGCCCTTGAGAAATATTTTCAGATTTTTCTCAAGTAGGTTTTACATGTTTCTTGTTAAATTTACTCCCTAGGATTCTATTTTATTGCTGTTGAAAATGATTTATTCTCTTCCATGATATTACTTAACTGGTTTTATTTATGTGTATGAATACTGATGACTTCTATATTTCAATTGTTATTGTTGCTCCTTTACTGAAGTTCTCTTACTGTTTATAGTAACTTTTTGGTTGGTTTGCTGGGGTTTTGCAGCAAATAGTAAAAGTAAATAGTTGTATCAAATGCAAATAGAGGCTTTTTTTTTACTTTTTCCTTTCCAATTCATATGCCATCTCCTATCTTCCTCTTGCCTGATATACTTTAACTAGGGGCTCAGTGCACAAATTCGTGCACCTTGGAAGGAACTGTGGGCCGTGAGGCTGCGGTGGGCAGAGGGGCAGGTCTTGGCCCATCCTTCGCGCCCCCACCCAGCCCCTCCCGCCGTGGGTCCCAGTCCCCTGTCTGCCAGCAGCCCCACTCCCGCCACCGCGGCTCCCATGTGCTGAGAGCACTGGCCCAGCTCACACCCACTGACAGCGCTAAGCT